TCCTCCAGCATGCAAGGAAAGCAGACCTGCTTAAGCCCGCATTATGTTGCATTCTGCGTTAGCATGTTCCTGAAAATAGCTAGAGAAAAACAGGATTTGTTTTGGTTTCTGGGAGGGTGGAACCGTGCAGGTATCACTACCAACACAGCATTTGTGTATGCTTAAAAATCACATTCATAAATAGAGCCTGATTAGTGTTCTGCATATAGCTTATTGAGTGAGTCAAAAATACACAACATTGGCACCACAGAATAAAAGTTTACAGTTTTACTGCTGTTTACGTTCTCGGGGTATTTTGGTCTGCTCTGACTTTCTAAGAGGGAAATCCAAGTTGAGGGTGTGTTCCACATAAAGCTTCCGACATTCGACTTATTCAGGAATGCACCATGTATACTCTGTTGCAGACATGGACAGGTGAGTAGTCATTCCTGTTCTACTTCTTTGAAGTCCAGCGTCTGTGGTGCATGCATAGTTGGTGCATTGTAATGTAAATACACAAAAAATAGGCAGGCACACAGACGGTCACACATCTGATGACGAAATTTATGTCATAGTGGAACCCTTGCAAACCGTAACGGATTCGCCGACGTAGAACGTGTGATCCCTGCTTCACGAGTCATAAACCAGGTCACAATCACGGCCTCACAGTTCAGATATTTGTGGTCTTTCACACCTCCACTTTTCCATAATTTTCATAATAACCATTCAGAAATGTCTCGTATGTTTCTTGAATAAGCACACAGTCTCAAAACTCTCAAACTTGGATGTAAATGCTGTTTGTACAACATGATTTCGAGTGGAACAGTGTAAAAGCACAAGCAGCAGCACATTGTTAAACATTAATGAACAGATGGTGGGCATCAGCTTCTTGACGGAGCGTCTTTATACTCCAGCAGCAGCACCACCACATTCTGTAGCTTTAGTGACAAATATCAGGCCTGCTTTGTAGCTTTGTTTTTTCCAACAGACCAGTAACGCTTTTTTAGCCAGTGACGCATATGCATGAATGACAAAGGGCTTGGTCACCTAGATGGCGTTTGATGTTCTGTCTTGAGTGCAGATGCCAAAGTAACTCTTGAATTGGAGTTTTTATCAGGAACAAAGTTCAAATAGAGAGCTGTGTTAGATAACACACAACATGAAAGGAACAGTTGTAAGAGGAATACATCAGGAGTTAAAAGTGTCTCACATTTAGTGTATTAGTTTCTCAGAGTTGAAAATCAAAATCACACAATCAAAGTGGAAATGTCAGGGAGGTTTACCTTAAACTTCTTATGTTATCTCTATTTTAATTTAAAATATAGTTTAATAGAAGCTATTTGTAATGTTCAGTCATCTCACTCTGATTATGCTGCCCTGTTGCATGATTTCAGACACTGGACGAGCTGAGTGAGGAAACTTCTACTGAGCATTTGGAGTTCCCCCTCCTCCCTCAGCGCTCCCTCTCCTCCATCACCCAGCTGTTGCCTTTCCTTCGCACCCTTTTTCATTCCTTCCAGAGCCCTCCCACCTCCAGCGATCCCGCAACCTACTTCCCTGTTGCAGACTACCCACCCGCCAGTTCACACGCAGTCCTGATGAGGCTGGAGCACATCGCAGAAGAAGAGTTCCTCGACTCCATGGAGAGCTAGAAAGCCTTTCGTGAACCAGCCATGCAAGCTGAATATGTAAAACGGGCAGAATCACTGATGACGATGTATTGTGAACTAGGAAAAAAAAGGAAATGTTTTGAGATTTTGCTTTTTAATTTCACTGGAAAACAAAGGGATGTTATTTACAACTGACTTTTTTTTGGTATCTGATATGATGGTACTTAACTGTTTATGGAAAATAATTACAAATAATTGGAAAATTCTTCTTTCTGAGCAATTCACATGAGACTGTCCCATTAACATCTTCTGCTTGCTTTATGACTAAAAACAATTGCCATTAATTATAATAATGGAAACCAACGTAAAGTTACCAACGTTTTTTTTATAAAGCATGCATAAAATAATAATGATTGTTCCTGTGACGATTATTTAACTTTTGCACCAATAGGCAGGTTCCCTTTTCAATGATCTTAATGAGTAATATTGTTCATTTGCATAACTGGTTAACTTAAATCTGTAGTACAGCTGTAATCAGGTCTCTCTGACTCAAGAGAATGTGACGACCAAATGTCTCTTGGTAAAAATTCATAATAAGTTATGCTAAGAGTTCTACTGTTAAGTTACTGAATGTGCTTTGTGTATAACAGGGAAATAAGCTCTGGTTTTGCTATTTTTGGTGTTCAAGGGAAATTAGCCTTTCTTTGCAGTTGTTCACTGAAAGTTTTTACAACTGGCCATTGTCTTCTCCTTTTCCACAGTGCTAAATGTTTAAGTTATTTTGAATGTTTAAAAGACCAGGTCAGGTTTTAATTTAGCAAAAATAAAATTGAATAAATTAAACATTAAAATTGAGTGCTGTATTTATTTATTTATTTGGCTGTACAGCTTTAAAGTTACATGTTTTGGCGTGTTTGTATTGAGGGAAATTGTTGTGGAGCCTTAACTCTGCAGGGGAGACAGTAATGCATATTTATTTCTCAATAACCTGATGTGGCCCAGAGGCATATGAATTATGGATCAAATAGATTTAAAAATACAGTTTATGGAGCTGTGATTCTAAAGTTACAGGCTTGCCCAATATTATTGGTTATGGGGAAATTCCAGTTGGTAAGGTTTTACACTGACTGCAAACCTCTAGTTGTCTATTTTGCATTTGTAAAACTATCTCCGTGTGCTGGTGTAGCTCACCAGATGGAGTAGGTTACCCATTTACTGTGTGTCATCCCAGCTTTCCTGTCTTCCTCCATGTCCAACTCAATACAAGTGACTTTCAGCTGTTCCATTGTCACAAGGGGTTGGCACAGCAGGTAACTCCACATGTTTGAGCCTCCTGGGTTTTGCACCAGATGTTCTTCCTGACACAATGCTAACAGCATTTATGTCTCTGGCTGTTATCAAACCAGCAATTATAACAGTCGAGACACTGTCCTAGCTTAATAAAGACTAAAAATAAGGGGGAAAACCTGTTTTGACAAAGTTATGTGTTATATAAACGTCCTTAGAATGTTACAGTCGTGCAATACTTGGATATATTCACATCATTTTCAATTTGATGCTAATTATGAAACTATAACGAGCATCTTACATAATGGTGTGACAACGAATGACAAATCACAATATAAGAGAACATCTTACTGTTTCATATAAACGGCGATTACCACAGTATTACACACTAAATGTTTCAGTGCAGAGGTGGTGGCTGACTGGAATGGAGTTTTTAACCTCAATAATTTGGAGAGGTTTCAGTACTTTCCAGACATCCTGTTTGTCCTGCAGACCAATCATCAGTATGTCTTTGAACTATCAAGTCCAAAGACATACTGATGAAGAAAATAATGTGAAGAATAACTATTTGAGTTTAGAACTTCTGATTGGGTTAGCCATGAACAAATCCCATGCAGCCACAAATCAAGTGAAGTGACCACATTACAGAAAAAAGGAAGTATTTTAAAATTTCATACATTTGTTCAGGCATTTTTGTACACTCCTTGACACGGACAGATGCTCTTCATTAGGTTGGCATGGTATCAAAGTATTTAACATCTCACAGCAAGGACGTTTCTGGTCAAAATTCTGGCAGGTGTCAGTGATTCTGTATCAGCAGTGAATGTGAAATCGAGTGCTGTATGTATAGTTAAAGCTGTTGACTTGTTGAAAGCACTTTGAGTGATCGGTAGGACTAGAAAAGTAGATTAAATTACGATCCTACCTCTAATGCACAAAGTACATTTTTAAAAAAAGACAAGCTGAAATCCATTTATTCTGAACTAACTGAGAACGAGATCAAAGGAAGGGATGGGGAAGTCATAAATTACAAAGGCACCTGAGCTCCTGTTTCAGTGAGTGTGGGAAACGCATGCAAATCCAGCACACGCGAGGTTTCATAACACATATTTGAATATACAGACTAGCTTACAATAACAAAATTGTGTTTTCGTTTTAATTAGTGTTGAATTTATATATCTATAATTTTACATTCTTGATGTGATTATTTTTTTTAGGTTATAGCATTTTTTTACGCATGATTACATAAAAATCAGAATGATAATAGACAATTATTTTCATTTCCACTTTCATCCATCCATCCATCAATTTTCTTCCGCTTATCCCGGTCGCGGGGGCAGCAGTCCAAGCAGAGAAGCCCAGACCTCCCTCTCCCACCTCCTCCAGCTTGTCCGGGGGAACACCAAGGCGTTCCCAGGCCAGCCGAGAGATATAATATCTCCAGCGTGTCCTGGGTCTGCCCCGGGGGCTCGGCATGCCCGCTTTCAATAGATCGGAATATGTTTTAAATAATTGTTTCTGATGTTTTCATGTCTTAGATAAAACAGGATATGGTGTTGTGAGAAAATAGATGGTTTTTTTTCAAAAACTTTGTAAATCCAAGAAAATACCTTCCATCTATTCTCTGAAGCCTTAAAGATTAATCCATGTATTTAATTATTTCCTTTATAAAATAAAGAAATGAACTGTTTTTTAAATATCATTTATGTCTCTGTGCTATTGCCCCTACATTATAACCAATCCAGATATTTTGCGTCATTGAAATATCCTTATAGAATTATGTTATATTTGTTAAAATCTCTGCCACCCTGTTGGCCACATCCCCCAGTTTAAATACGAATAATCCCCTTTTTCTCACTTGCACTTTTCATCACTTGCACTGGCACAACAACACTGGCACGTGTATCACATTCCGTAACACTAAAATTAATTTCAAGGTACGTCACTGTCGGCACGCTTTTATTTTGGAACGTCAAGCCGGAAGTGTTCCAGACAGCGTGCAATGCACAAATAAACCCTTACATATGAGGTATGGATATTGATATTAACATAAAACATAAGCAAGGGCGATTTTAATTAACTTAAAAGTTCTCTGTTTAATTTTTGTGTAACTCGAGTGTTTTGGCCGACCGGATGCTTGGACCTAACCCCGCCCACAGCAATCGGTCTACAGAGAAAGATGGCGACGCAGATGGACCATGGTGTTCCGTTAAGCACGGTGAGAGGAGTTTACTTATTTGTTTGGGGAGTTTTGTCCTATTTATTGGTGGACTAAATGTGTGAACAATTGAAACAACAGTAAGAATCTGCGTCTGGGTTCAGTGAGGTTAATTCAGTCCATACAGCACACCCGCTGTGGTCAAAGCTGTATTGGCTGTTGGTACCGAGGTCTGTGGGACTCCCATGTAGTTACCAGTCAGTTTATATTTACAACTGCCAAAGAGTACTGTCATCGTTAACAGCAGTATTGATTACTCAGAAATTAGGTCCGGTTGCGCTGTGAATTCAGGCTAGTGGATAAGTTTCGTTTTCCTGACTCACGGCTGGTTTTACAGCCCACTAACATACTGGTTACAATGGCCTGTCTCGTCTTGTTCCAGGTCGACACAGAGCCAGGACCAGTGTATTCTCTATATCTATATTTGGTAGGAGGTTAAATGGCTTTTGCATAAGATTTAATGCACTTGTATAATGTTTTCCCTCTATTCAAAGGAGCTTGCAAAGAAAAGCGTCTGGACTTCTTTAAGTTGCTTGAAGACGTTTCACCTCTCATCCGAGAAGCTTCTTCAGTTCTAAGGTCAAATGGTGGAGAGCCCCAGATATAAACCTAGTGGGAGTAACCCCCCACAGAGGGACAAAAGGACCCCCTGATGATCCTCTAATCGCCTGAGCCAAGGTGTGAAACTGGGTGTGGGTCCCAATCAGCCAGAGTTTCGGGTGAGTTCATTGTGAAACCTGGCCCCACCTTATCATGCGAATTCCTGAGGTCAGATGGCCCAGGATGTGAGTGGGCGTTAAGGCGTCTGGGAAGGGATCTCAAAACTGGATTATAGATGGCAGAGAGTTGGTGTCGTAAACCACCACCATGCACTGTACAGCATACACCAACTTAACAATGTGGTGTATGCTGTACAGTGCAGCGAGGAATGCTCAGACCTCTACATTGGAAAGACCAAACAGCCACTTCACAAGCGCATGGCACAACACAGAAGAGCCACCTCCACAGGACAAAACTCAGCAGTTCATCTGCATCTTAAGGATAAAGGACACTCTTTCGAGGATGCCAATGTTCACATTTTGGACAGAGAGGACAGATGGTTTGAAAGAGGAGTGAAAGAAGCCATCTATGTCCACTGTGAGCGACCATCTTTGAACAGAGGCGGGGGTTTACGACACCAACTCTCTGCCATCTATAATCCAGTTTTGAGATCCCTTCCCAGACGCCTTAACGCCCACCCACATCCTGGGCCATCTGACCTCAGGAATTCGCATGATAAGGTGGGGCCAGGTTTCACAATGAACTCACCCGAAACTCTGGCTGATTGGGACCCACACCCAGTTTCACACCTTGGCTCAGGCGATTAGAGGATCATCAGGGGGTCCATTGTCCCTCTGTGGGGGGCTACTCCCACTAGGTTTATATCTGGGACTCTCCACCATTTGACCTTAGAACTGAAGAAGCTTCTCGGATGAGAGGTGAAACGTCTTCAAGCAACTTAAAGAAGTCCAGACGCTTTTCTTTGCAAGCTCCTTTGACTACGAATACCTGGATGACTGAGAACCTTCACAGACATTTTCCCTCTATTCACCCTCTTAAAGTCTTCCCCTGTTTGTTTATTACTCTGTAGTAAGTAGGCCTGCCACAAACGATTATTTTGATAGTCGACTAGTCACCGATTATTTTTGCGATTAGTCGACTAATCAGATCATGCATCCATTGGACGTAAAACGTACAGCTTATTGCACCAGCACGCATCTGCTTTTATATCATTAGCTTACAGCTTGAAGTGTTTAAGGTGCTAACTAAAAATATTAAAGTTTATTGAATTTAAATGAAATTTGCAGGTTGTTTCGGTGGACTTTATTAAACTCAGCCGTCTGCTCCTTGCTATATAAAATACAACGGGACACCGGAGTATATTCTCGAGCATCTCACACTTCTGATAATCAGTTGTCTGCTTGACATTTATTCAGCTGTGTGAAAACTTTAACTTTAATCTCAGCCAAACCGATTTACTCCGGAACAAATAAAACACTGGAAAAAAGCCAAACAATAACACTTTTAAGTTATCTGAGTGGCTTATATATCATGTTTAACCTGAGTAGCAAAAGACGGTGGTGGGTTTGAAAACGATTTGACGAGAGTCCGGTGTTCTCACGGGCTCTAGTGAGGCTTGAACCCCGGCTAGCTATCGAGCTGGTGGGTAACAGACGTCTCCGAAAACGTCGGAGCGCTTTTGCAAATATGTGATGTCTTGATAAACTGAGCAGATATTTGAGGTTTACACAGTTACATTCTCGCCTGAACATTTAAACATTTATTTTGTGACCCAGAAAGAATAATAAGAGTAATATTAAAACTAACTAGTAGAGCTGGGCCATATTATACCGTTCATGGTAATACCGGTATAATGTTAGGCAACGATAGGAAAATGAAATATCGCGATAGAATGGGAGGAAAACACGCATGCGCAGTGCCTTTGTTTTCATACGCACATGGCCGATTGTTGAGTGAAACAGATGAACCAGAATTGGTTTGTAAAAATGGTGCAACTTCAGTCATGTGGAACTGGTTTGGTGTTTGTCCGTCAGATACACGACAAAGCACATTTTTTTTTGCAGAACATGCAAGCAGCCGTTGTTATTGTCGTATTTGTCGGACTAAGATGCTCTTAAATCTGGGAGTAATCTGGGTCCTAAACTCTGTATTCTTCTGGTCAAACGAACACTGCAGCATCACTGAGAGTTAAAAACTGTCTAAATTCTTTCATCTTTAATAAAACGATCAGCATTGCTGCTTTACCAGGTGTAACTATGAAGTTTAACTTCCAGGCATCCATGAAAACAAAATTTATTACATTTAACGGAGTTAGAAGTTAGCAGGAAGCTAGCGGAAGTTAGCTCGCTAGTTTTGCTAGTTACCTAAGCATGATATTGCATGTTCTGACTGAGAGATTTCTGAAAAAATTCAAACGTACAGCTCTGCTATCACTTCCAACATAAATGAAGACAGGAAACTAAACAGCAGTGACGTTTGTAGGGTTACTGAAGTTGGGCTAGGTGGTATATAATGATGTGCTATGTGATCGCTAGCGACACAGCTATGTTAGCATAACATAAACAGTGAAGCTGGAGGACTAACACTAACACTTTTCCACTTATAAAAGTTAACGTTAAGGTTCCTGATAGTTAGAGACAAATGCAATCGCATGGCAGGATGCTGTAAACGAACCAAACTTCAGTCAGGAGAACAACTGAGATAATCCATCCACAATACGAGGTTAGTCATTAATGTACTGCAACAACATGGGAATAGAGCAGCTGCCAGAGAATTCAACATTAATGAATCAATGGTACAGAAGTGGAGGAAGCAAGAAGAATGAGTTTAATAAAGTTTGATTTATCTGACTGTTTTGCTTAATGTGCCTTATAATCCCGTGCACCTTATGGTCCGAAAAATACGTACTGCACACTGCAGTTTAATGTTGCAAAGCACCTCTTTTTAACTTCAGTGGATATTATATATGGTTATGCTCAGGATATGTCAGCCCATTTCTACTGGAAATGCCTTTTGGTTAAACTTTCAGCAAGGAATTTGCATTTGCACTGTTACATTTTTATAAAGCTTTAATGTACATAAAAACCAGCTTCTTGTTTAAGTGAAAATAAATGGAAGGTTGTCTTTTTGCGCTAGTAATGTTGTGGAGTTGTATTTTGTCTCGCATCAGTTATATCGTCAGTTATATCGTTATCGCAAATTTTCAAATATATATCGTGATAAATATTTTTGGCCATATCGCCCTGCTCTACTAACTAGCTGCCGCCATTGTTGGAAACTAAATTGGGCTGCGCTATGAATTCTGGGACACAGCTTCTTCTTCAGGGTTTAACGGCAGCTGGCATCCTTGTACATGCAGTGCTGCCATCTTCTGTTTCAGTCCGTTATTACACTCTTAAATCCTACTACTTATTCCTGCGTCTTTTGGGATCTTACAAAGCTTCAAACGACGCGTCAACTATTAAATTAGTTGTCGACGATTTTGATAGTCGACGTAATTGTGACTAGACGACTAGTCGTGGCAGCCTTAGTAGTAAGTGTGTCCCTCGTGTTATCACACTTGTGAAAGCAAAACAAGGGATTAAAGTTGTTTAGGTCACGTTTGTTTGACTGCGGAGCTTCTTTGCATATGTCTGTGAAGGTTCTCAGTCATCCAGGTCAGAGTCATTTCAGTCAGAGTGTGTGTCCACACATTCAGACAGAAACTGGTTCATCCCAAAGACAGAACTCCTAAACACAAACTTAACAACGTAGTATAGGCTGTACAGTGTAGGGGGGAATGCTCAGACCTCTACATTGGACAGACCGAACAGTCACTTCATAAAAGCATGGCACAACATAGAAGAGCCACCTCCACAGGACAAGACTCGGCTGTCCTTCTGCATCTAAAGGACAAAGGTCACTCCTTCGAGGACACCAATGTTCACATTTTGGACAGAGAAGACAGATGGTTTGAAAGAGGAGTGAAAGAAGCCATCTATGTCAACTGTGAGCGACCATCTTTGAACAGAGGCAGTGGTTTATGAAACCAACTGTCTGCCATATACATCCAACCTCAAGAAATCACATGATAGGGTGGGGGTAGATTTCACAATGAGCTGATGTGGGCTGATTTTTAGTTAAACCCATTTTCACGCCTTGGCTCATGTGATTAGGTAGATCATTAAGGGGTCCGGTGTCCCTCTTGGGGGGACACTCCCATAGGGCTTAAATCTGGAGCTCTCCAACATTTGACTCTAGAACTGAAGAAGCTTCTCAGATGACAGGTGAAATGTCTTCAAGCAACTTAAAGAAGTCCAGGCGCTTTTCTTTCCAAGCTCCTTAGACAGTTTCTTTGCATAATTTCCACCTACTTGAATTGATTCTGTTTATGACCAAATAAATATCAGCTTTCTAAGTGTTGAACAGTTACGATATAGATCTGTTATACCAGACATTGTCATCTGTAGTCTTGGCTGAAGCTCTGCAGTGGTGGAGAAAAAAATGACAATACCAAGCAATAAGGTAAACAAATGTAACACATTAAAAACAATATGCAAAGATGCACAGTGAACTCATTGCCATGTTCAAGAAACCAGTTTGAGATGATCTGAGCTTTGTGATATGTTACGTTATCCTGCCAGAAGCAGCTATCAGACAATCACTGTAGTCATGAGGGGATGAACATGGCCAGCAACAGTATTCAGTTATGTTGTAAGGTTTAAACGGTTCTCAGTTGGTAGTTTCCCACACACCATTACACTGTTACCACCACCCTGAACTTTTGATACAAGGCATGTTGTTTTCTGACCTGACCATTACACCAGCAAGCAGAGACTCATTAGAACAAGCAACATTTTTCCATTCTGCTGTTGGGTTAATTTGAGCAAACTGGAGCCTCAGTTTGCATGTTCTTAGCTGAGGGGAGTGCCACCCAGTGTGGTCTTCAGCCCATCTGCTTCAAAGTTCGTGTGGTTAGTAACATATGGCCAGGTGATGCTCTCCTCCAGCTACAGGACTGTTTTAATCTGACAAACTGGTCCATTTTTAAACAGCAGGATCTGGAGACCTTCAATCACTCTGTCCTTTTCTACATTAACTGCCGTGTAGAAAATGTGACAGTGACAAAAACTTAACTGAAAACCTTGGATGACAAGTAAAATCCAGGCTCTGATCAGAACTCGTCACTTAACCTTCGTGCTGAGGGTCATTTCCTTGTGCAACCTGCCAGTGCCAACCAGAGGATGGGTATTAAACAGGCAAAGGAGGCTTATAAGAAGAGGATCGAGGGCTTCCTCACTGATAACAACCCCCAGCCAGGTGTGGAGCGGCATCCCAATCTCTCACCAACTAGAAAGACCAGAGCCCCCAACTGCCGACAGCAGCCTCAAACTCGCAGAGGACCTCAACACCTTCTTTAGAAGGGTGCTCAACCTCTCCCTGACTCATGCCACCATTCCCACCAATCTGAAGGTCTCCACTATCATTCCGATCTCAATGACTACAGACCTGTAGCCCTCACGTCTGTAGTCATGAAGTTTTTGGAGCAGATACTGTCTCAGCACATCAGAGACTGTCTACCACCCTTCCTTCACCCGCACCAGTTTGCTTACAGAGCAAATCCTTCACTCACCTTTTTTTCTCATTCTGATGTTTGGTTTGAACTTCAGCAGGTTGTTTTGACCATGCTGAATTACTGCCATGTGATTAGCTGATTCAGTTTTTGTGTTAATAAGAATTTACACAAACATTTTTATCTGGATTTCCTGTGCTGTTGCTACATGTGGGAAACCCTTCCCCTTACTGTTCTTCCCTATTACAAGTCTGATCTCTTCTGCAAAGATTTGCATGTATTTTCACTAAATTGACCAGTGCAGCGCTGAACTGACCAGGTTTTGGTTTCAAAATTACATCAAACCTTTGTTTTAAACATGGAGCATATTTTCCATGCAGTAAAAATAAATAAAGTCAGTAAAGCCCCTTTGTTGTGGTGGATGTGATATAAAATGCAACTAATTTGTGAAATTGAATTTGTTTCACTTGTAGCTTTCGCCCAAGTTTCTGCACAGCAACTCCACCAGCCACACCTGGCCCTTCAGCGCTATAGCTGAACTGATTGGTGAGTCACTGTGATCTCATTGTATTTCGAGGTTGGTTTCTATTTCACTTCCAATTCTGAGAACAACAGCTGTAACGACACAGACAGATGATTATATAACAAAGTCAAATATTTACTTGATTGAACTGTATGTCTTGTTTCATGTTAAAAAAAAATACAATAAATAACAATAATATGTAATATAATAGTGAAGATATATATATATATATATCTTCACTATATTTCTGCACGAATCTAACTTTATGAGTCTGTTTAATATGTACACTGTATGTAGCAGAAAAATAGGTCCTCTGTTAAAAAAAGTAGTCTCTCCCTGCTGCTCATCTACACTGTAATTCTGGCGTTCATATTTGGATTTTAAATGCTCCCTAAAACTGTTTTTGACAGACAATGCCTACGACCCAGACGTCAGTGCCAAACAGTTCTGGATTGATAAAACTGTGGTCAAAGGAGAAGAATGCCTCAGCTTCATGGATAATGGAAATGGGCTGGACAATAAAACAATGCATAAGATGCTCAGGTACAGATGCAACTACGGTGTCATTTTTTGAAACTTGTGGAAAGTCAGATTTCAGAAGATTGAAATCTTTGTAAAACCTTGAGATTTTAACATAAATTCATGGAGTGTGTGGTTTGCAGAATTTTATGGTGTCATTGTGCCATCATTGGGTGTCGTATTGTACAGCTCTCACCATGCCTTTTCATATCATGTGTTACTCGATATGGTCTCTTGTAGTGACGCGCGAATCATGAACGAATCGTTCAATACTCGAGAATCACTTTACTGACTCATGAATCATGATTCACATGCTCAACTGACTCACTGACTCATCCCTGTTGCTGTTAGCAGCAATGTATCTAGCTTATAATTAAAATTGTGGAGAAAAACACAACATCCAGTATCTTAACAAAAAAAAATTCTGCTCTGAACTGGAAGGAAAAACCCTGAGTAGAAGCTCACATCAAGAAAATAGCTCCTCGGTTCACAGTAGCTTCGCTCTGCTAACATGCTAACAGCACATTTGAGCTACTCACCCCCTCCCTCCTGTGCTGAATCATAGAGCGAACGAATCACTCACTCACTCACCTACCTCCTCCCTCCTGGCTCACAGCTTCTTCTTCTTCTTGGTTGGCAACCAATGTTAAGGCGCATTACAAATTTGGTGCTAACAATGAAGGTTAAGGTCAAATGCTTAGCCAACCTAGGTGCTCATGTCTTCCGAGGCCTAGTATGTTGTTGTGAAGATTGAAGCCATGATAAATTGTGCGTAAGATAGCATTTGAACTGATTTCCACATTTGGTGTGACCTTGACCTTGATCATGACCATTTTAAATTAAATCAAAAATTAAATCACCTAGAGATGCTTTTGGTACCTGCCATCAGACAAAAGTTAAACATGATATCTTGAAAACTGTGGATGCTAGACTGCTAACAGACAGTCAGACAAATGGAACTGATTGCATACTGCTTCCCTTCAGAGGGAGAATTATGGTTTGCAAAACTGGTAAAAAAAAATTTGCATTTTCTCTCCTTCAGCTTCGGATACAGTGACAAGATGCCCCTGAACGGTAAAGATCCAATTGGAATCTATGGCAATGGCTTCAAGTCTGGCTCCATGCGTCTTGGCAAAGATGCTATTGTCTTCTCCAAGTCGAAGAGGAGCTTATGCGTGGGGATGCTCTCCCAGACTTACCTGGAAAAGATTGGTGCAGATCAAATAATTGTACCTATTGTTTCCTTTGAAGAGAGCGACTCCAAGAACTATATCCTTTATCTAATGAAATATTATACATCAACTATGTATTCATTACTCCAGGATCAAATTAAGTCAGCTGAAAAAGAACAGGAGCAATCCAGAGATCTCAGAGAGAAAAAAGGGAGAAAAAAGAGATTCCTTTAAAAAAAAACATAAATAAATCAAAATTAGAGACTAGATAAAAGGTGTGATAACAAAGTCCTGCAACTTTGCTAAAACAAAAATTTTATAACTCTGATTTCATCTTTTCTTACACCTCTGAAGTGCTTCCAGTCTTGCTGTTGTATTTATTTTATTTAGATCTGTGGTTGTCCTGTTCTACTGGTTTACAAGTGAGGTCTGTAGAAAAGCAAAGACTTGACCAGGACTATTGTTGTTGGAGTTTTTATCTCCATGTTTAAAGGGTTGTGCACTGTGAATTGTTCCCAAGAGTCAGACTATTAAAGCAGAGGTCCGGTAGTGTCTGATAGAAAAGAATTCAGGAGAAATAATCAGAACTGTGATGCCTGGCACCGTGCACCAGCACTTTATGCATAATTCAGTAGCTTGTAGAAACACGTGTCTTGATGCACGCTCAGTCATCCAGGTAAGTAGATCCCAAAAGGTTGATTCTGTTCTGGACGTAGCGTTTTCAGAGGGAGAAATGTGTTGCAGAAACATCTTTAGCAGCAATAACACAAAGTAATTGTTTTCTGTATAGTTCTGATACTGTGTGAAGTTACCTGAAATCTTCAAACGGGCCAAATCTTCTGCTTTTTTAGAAGTGTTCAAACATGTCAATCATCATTTAATCAAATTCATTCGATTAGCAGCACCTCATCATGAACAAACCTTCTTCTTCACATGATTGTATGAGTGGAGTCGGGCTAAATGTTATCAAGTAGGATTTGATTTATTTGAAGAATGGAGTAGGAGAAAATCTGAACTGAGCTACAAACCTAGCATGTGAGATGTGCTAGGTTTGTAGCTGTAAATGTCATTGAGAAGGGTATTTTTTTGTCATCTTTTGTCATAAGTCATACTTCCCTTTTTCCTTTGTTTTCCGTCCTTAACTTCTCCTTTACTCTGTGTAAGAGAGGACCAGAAATCCAGTCTACAGGCCATTCTGCAGTATTCCCCTTTCAGCACACAAGAAGAGCTACTCTCAGAGATTCATGCAATTAGTTTGCCGGGATCCACGTCGAAAACTGGCACACGGATCATCATCTGGAACCTCCGCAGGTCTGTCTGTGGTCCACACAGGAATAAAGGGTCATATGTGATTTCAGAGGCTATGCTGTTGCAATTAAAGCCTGCTAGTTAAAGCCTCTCATTACTGGATCATTACTATCATCATTCCTACAAGAATCAAATCACCATCTTTCTTGTTTGCCTGATAAAAAGATGATAGTTTACAGATCTGGAAGCTTTCTTTGCACGACAAAGAGGGCAAATTAACTGGATGTCAACTGCACACCATTTGTTGAAATGCACTCCATACCATTACATTTACCTCAAGGATGATGCATCCATGATTTCCAAAAAGAAAATTCTTCTGATTTTCATACCAATAGTAGTTCAAAACATGCACGCCCTAATGACTCAGTTAATTGGTTTTTCTCTATACCTAAACTGTTAACCACTTATTCACGCTGCTTTTTAGAGCGAGGTAAATGCCTTCCCAACTCAGTATTTAGTCTTTTGCAATCCTTCCTTTCAATTTATTTCACATTTTCCAGAGGGTTCTAACTTTTTGTAAACATAGTTCTAAGAAATATTGCATGACAAAGTCCTCCCTCTCTGCACTTATATTCTAACTGTCTTTTGCACTAATAACCAATAACATAAACTGTGTCTTGTTTTGTTTTTTTGTCAGGACATCTACTGGAACAACAGAGTTTGATTTTGAGAAGGATCGGTATGACATCCGAATTCCATCTGAGGTTTACAGTGCAGAGAATGACACTAATCAGCGTCCAGACAAGATCACGTCACACATCCCTGAGAGCATGTACTCGCTTCGGGTAAGCAGCATAAATGCGCATGCCCTGAAATAAACCATTAGCACTTGGTGCTAAAAGAGAAAGCCTCTTTGTCCTCAACATAATTATGCATCCAAAAATGAGAGTGCAACAGCTTTAGATGCTAATCACAGTTCAGTCCAGTGGGCAACTTCTGGTTAGATCCACAGGTTCAGCTTTTTTTTTTGACAGTGACACAATTTTTGTAAGTTTACCTCTGTGCACCTACACAGTAAAATTAAACAGCAGAGGGATTTGTGGGATTAAACAAAAGCTTTGCATTAACTGTTAAAGAATTGCAGCCATTTGTATACAGTCCCCCATCTGAGTCCCCAGGCTCAGATTAATATATTTTTGAAGCAGAGAGTATAGCCTTGCATACTTCCACAGTTCATCCTGGTACTTCTATCAGCAGTCACTTCACCAGTAAACAGTAGTGGCTCGTTTTCACTGGCAGCCATACATGCCCATGACATAACTCCACCATGTTTCAGAGAGGATGGGTTATGCTTCAGGCAGGGTTCGTACAGGTGAAAATACTTGAATATAGTCTTTTCAAGGTTTGAAAAGCGCTTGAATTTCAGATGTGATGCTTAAACGTGCTTGAAACTGTATTTCATTCACCACAAATAACTATCTGACCGAATAGTTTTCTTATCAGATAGAGAAATAAAATAAGTGTTTGATGGAAAATGACACTGAGTCACATGACAGGTGAGTCCTAGTAAATCATTTTTGAGTATGTGTAAATAAAATATGCTAATTTTGGAAACTTTTATTATTATTTTGCCAGCTATCAACCTTGCTGAAGAAATGACTGAAATGCACTGCGCTTTACTTAGTCCCTATGGACCCCAAAGCGCTTCACACTACATTCAGTCATTCACACACTGGTGCTGGCAAGCTACATTGTAGCCACAGCCGCCCTGGGGCGCACTGACAGAGGCGAGGCTGCCAGACACTGGTGCCACCAGGCCCTCTGACCACCACCAGTAGGCAACGGGTGAAGTGTCTTGCCCAAGGACACAATGACACAAGACTGTCAGAGCCGGGGCTCGAACCAGCAACCTTCCGATTACAAGGCGAACTGCCAACTCCTGAGCCACGATCGCCCCAGTAGTTAGTTATGGCATAGTGATTTATGAAATATGCTGTAAAATTGGCTAACATTACTTAGCAGTAGCAGTAATGTGAGTTACTTCACTCAAGTGAAAGCTTTAAGCGTTAGTCTGATACCTAACTTTTACTAAATAATGGTAAAAAGAGTGACTGATCCTCATGGGCACAAAGAATAGCCACTTTTTTATGCTACCGAAGTCCCGGGCCTTTCATTAAAAATCTGTTTATTGTGAGCACCTACACATTAAACAACTTAAAAATTATAATTGGCTTCAAGCTCACATTGAGGCCTGTGTGGCACTGAGACAAATTTGAGTGTTTTAATATAATAATGTTTCATGAATGTTAGGCTGCCTGTTTATGAACAATACGTTATAATTCTACATAATTATATCACAGATGATAGGTAGATGCTTGTGCATTCTTAAAGTATTATATGTTGAATTGAACTGAGTATGTCATCTGTTCAAAGCCTCTCCCAGTCAGTGCTGTTCTCCATGCCTGTTTTACTGTACATGATGTTATTGGCACAAACACTTTAAAGGTGATTATAAAAGATAAAAAGATTTTTAAAAAATCTATGAATGCATGGATCCCTCTCTCTCTCATTTATATATATATATATATATATATATATATATATGGAAAACACTTTATAAGCTGAAAAATTACAGGCAGATATTGCATTAAGGAGGTCTGTAAAATAGTCACTCTTAATCATGGTTTTTAGAGATTTCCCCCAATTTATGAGCTCCACCCAGTTTTCTTTTTCACGATTCTTCTGATTGTATAAGTAAAATGACATCTGTGGGTGGGTGTAGGCATTTTCCAGCATTCTGTACCTGAAGCCTCGAATGCAGATCATAGTTCGGGGTCAAAAGGTGAAATCTCAGCTCATCGCCAAGAGCCTGGCCTGGATCAGAAAGGATCACTATAAGCCTACTTTCCTAGTACCGGTATCCTTTTTACACAGCTTTTCTACAACTGTATAATTTTGGTGATATGTTTATTCTGCTGTTTTTTTGCGTTTTCCTTAAATTGTATGCTAGACCCAAAGAATTCCTATTACTTTTGGGTATAACACCAAAAGCAAAGACCAGTGTGGCATAATGATGTATCACAAGAACCGGCTCATTAAAGCTTACGAACGTGTCGGCTGTCAGCTTAAGGTCAGTTTCTGCTGTTTAAGTGAGTTTTTCTTTAATCACGTGTTTTAACATGTAGAATGATGTAGATGTTATCATTTGCTAAAATGTTGCTTCCTACAGGCCAACAACAACGGTGTTGGAGTCATTGGGGTCATAGAATGTAACTTTTTGGATCCCACTCACAACAAACAGAGTTTTATGGAGAATGACAAGTACAGGTAATAGCATTCCTGATTACATTTATCACCTCGAAGGCTCGATTGAGGTCATAATGAGGTTTGGGTGGGTGAGGCACAGTCTGATGTCTGTCTGATGCAAACTTTCTTGGCACAGGAAAACCATGAATAATTTGGGGATTAAATTGGAGGAGTACTGGAAAGAGATACGCTACAGAAAGACGAAAGAAAATCCAAATAGCACCATACTACCAGAAGATATCAAGTTAGTACACTTCGCAGCGACTGGCATCAGGTTTTCATTCATTCAAATTTGTGTTTGCATATGTGTTTAACCATGCCGGTTTGTCTTTAGGAAGCGACCAGATCAAAACTGGGCGCAGTGTGATAGCTGTCTGCAGTGGCGTAAACTTCCTGATGGCATTGACATCAACAAGCTGCCAGAGAAATGGTTCTGCCAAATGAACCCTGATCCTCAGTTCAGGTAATTGGATTTTTGGCAGTTTACCATGATTCTGTTCCAGAAAGCAGGTTCAACAATCTCTGAGTCCATTACCAAAACTAACCATCGGTTTTGATTCCAACAAGGCCTGATCAGAGTTATTTCCATCAACTCTGAGTGTGTTTACTCAGAGTTAAACATATAAGTGAATAGTAGAAATAAAGCCTTCATCAATGGTGCTTTGATACCAGTATGGCCACGGCAAATACCATGGCAAAGGGCAAATAAAAAGTCGACCCCCATTTTATTCCAGTGTTTGAGGAACCTAAATTTGCTGGTAATTATTACATGGTTATGTCACTACCTCCTTATATGGTGACACTGGTTTTTCTGAATGGACAAACACACACAGATGAATCAGGAAAGAAAATCTTTATCTACTTATGGGAGGGGGACTAGCACTGGTTACCAGTCTTTTCACTTCAGTTCTCAATTGCACTTACAGGAGCTGCCAGGTAGCCGAGGAAAAAGAAGACTCTGATGATGATCAGCCTTCGTATCGCAAGACCTACAAACAGCAGTGAGTCACAGTGACAGAAGTTTAAATTAATATTTATACAGAAATCTAAACGAAAATCTTAACTGATCATAAAAGAGGTGACCTGTGTGATTTATTTGTTACAGGGAGAGAGAGGAAAAGAAACAGGAGAAGGAAAGACAGATGGTAAGGATGCGTCATTTTCTGTAAATCGTTTTTCTTTTTTTTCTGCTGCAAGGGCACCTGCAGTGCCTTACTATGACTTTGAGGGATTTTGTCATTTTAATTATTTGTGATCCTGTGCGCATTTGTGGAGTATTGAACCCATGAAGAACAGTTGCCTCTGTCTAAACTTGCCAAACAAAATGAGGCTCTCGGAGAGCGGCAGGGAGACCTGGAACGGCGGCTGCATCAAACAGTGTTTCCCATTTATCACTTTGGAGGCCAGCAGCAATGTGCTATTGATAGAATCATCATATTAGACTAAACAAATCTAAACTTAGCACAAACTCTAATTATATATTTGTTTGGTCTATCATTATTACTATTATTATTAGTAGTAGTAGTAGTATCATATTATTGTTGTTATTATTATTATTATTATTATTATTATCTAGGCCAGTGTTATAGGGCAGCTTCAAGCTGGTGTTCTGCAAAAAACTAAACCTAGCACCTCTTCCAAATTGAGGGCCGGTTTCCATATAATGGGGGATTTCACAGGTAAGCCACGAAGTAGGCATCCCAAGAAGATAACACCACAAGAACTCCACTTTTCCTCAGGAACTCTAGACAGGCTTCTACAGATTTAAAGTTTGCAAGCTGATATGGCCGACAGCTTTCTACCCAGGCAGAGTGCACATAGCCAATCTCCAGTCTCACTGGGCTGCCAACAAGCCTGCCAAGAAGACTGTGGTTCACCATCAGGCCTTTTTGTGCCCATGTGCACTGGAACTTGAACATGTGAAAGTGTGGAGAAGATGCAGAGAACGATATGTTGATTGCAGCACTGATTGGGTAAGAACTTTTGGAGGTGGAGGCAGTGTGGTAGTATGAGGCGGCATCTCCCTCACTGGAAAAAATGGCTCATCAGTGCAGAGAGATGACGAGATAAAACCAGTAGCAATCCCATATCTCCGCAGTCTCGCACCGAACCATTCCTGACCTCAAACCGACTGAACAGTTGTGGGATCAACTTGGGCTTAAATGGTACCATTTAAGGGAACGGTGTAAGATTTATTGCCAAGAAAAATTGTTACAACAAAAAAATAATCAGCCAAATACAAGATTCTTTACTTTTTGTGCTAAATTTAGATTCAGTTTAGTCTAATATGATGATTAATGTTCAGTCTTTTTTTTATTGACAGATTGTCCACCAATCCCCTTCCACTCCCACTACTTTGAGGAGCTGTTCATTACAAGAGGGCGCTACAAGGCCTGAATCCTCACCGCTGACGTCTTCCACCATTTCTTCAGCTGGTGAGAAATTTTTCTCTTTGAGTGTGAGTGGGGAAAAACACTTTGAGAAATTAAAATGTATTTGTATTCTTTCTCTTTAGCCTACAGCCCTTCTCGTAATGATGGTTTTCCAGTTATTACTAGTGTATGCTCATTGTCAGCAGGCGCATTGTCAGCAGGCGCATTGTCAACCCTGAGGTATGGTTTTGTGTTGTTTGGCAGCTTAAATATGTGTTTTGGGACAGTAACATTGGGCGTTAACTCTGTTTTTTGTGCTCTGCAGAGTAAAAAGGAAACTGCCTGTTACTCCACAGAACACACCAAAAAGATCTCGGATAAATGGCTTCCACAGGAGCACCTCGGAAACAGCCCCATCAGTAGATGTGACCCCACTGAGCTCTCCTTCTGTGAATGTCGATAGTAATACTGATGATACCGACGATGAAATTGTCATCTTGGAGACTGCTAGCACCCCCAAGCCAAAACAGAACCTCTACGATTTAAATAAAGTGAAGAAAGAGGAAGAGCAAAGTGACAATAATGTCAGCATGCTGTTGGAGTGTAGCGATGATGCTGCTGTGGATGTCCCCTCAGACACGAATGCTGCAGGAGCAAGCTCTGCAGGGTCTGCAGCTGTGGAAACCAGTTCCTCCCCAGCGCCCCTTCCACAGCTGTCAAGCGCCACTACCCAGACAGAAGCACCTATTGTGAAGCAAGAAGGCGAGGACCAAAAGCAAGATGATATTAATAAGGGTGGTAAAGAACAGACCTCAAATATGGATAACTGCAACGTTCAGCAAAGAAAATTTAAGCAGGAGAGCAGTGGAGACAGTCAGAGTGAACATCAGGGACAGAAGACCTTGCAGAATGGTGTGAACCATGATCTAGAAAGGGAAGGAAGTCCTAGACCTTCCTGTTCAAATATCGGTGACAACGAATATAGTCCACTTACCTACCCCAATATCTCTGAGGTACAGCAACAACAAGACCAGCTGCTTGAGCTCATGCAGGAGACCGCTCAGGAGAGAGACTCTTTAAAAGAACAGGTCCAGAAACTTACCTCACAAGTGAAAGACCTGGAGAAAAAACTGAAGGAGATGGCACCGGTCAGCGTAAAGAAGGAGTGTTGTCACCAAGCCAGCCAGACAGAAGAAACAGGATGGCAGACGGACTACAAAAGTCTGTTCGAGAAGGCCAAACAGAAAGTCAGTGAACTGATTAAAGAGAAGGAGGCTTTAATAGCAGCATCTGATACCAAGGCCAATCTGAGTGCTGACAAAAATGTGGAAAACGATGATGAGATCGCACTGCAAGTTGACGCTCTAGTCCGGAAACTGGATCAAAGAACGAAGGAGACAGAAGAGCTGCGCTCACGGGTCAGTGACACTGTGTAGGGCTGTCTTTGTTTAAAGAAAATAGTAAAAGTGATGACAAAAAGCTTTTCTCACATTCAGTTGAAATAATTTGAGTCTTAAACGCACTGAACTAAACAAGCTTTTTGCCTCTGCCTAGCTTATGCTTCTGGTAGCGCTGACGTAGGAACGTGCATGTCACTCCGTCTGTAAACACAAAGTTGGAAATGGTCATGTCAAATTTGACCTGTATAGAGGTCAAATAGATTGATCTGAAGGTCATTATAACATACCATAATAGACCCATTTCTGTAATATACTTACATATCTATACTATTGCTAATATATATTGTAATATATCTATATCACTAAAGCACTTCTGGATGGATGCAAACTGCATTTCGTTGCCCTGTACCTGTGCATGTGCAATGACAATAAAGTTTAATTCTAATTCTAATTCTAATTCTAAATGATGGTATACAGAGCTGTTACAACTATGATTCTTACTGCTAATGTTTGTATTGGCAACATACTGTTTAGGGAACAGTATGTAAAAGTAAATACTCCTCAGCGCTGCCCTGGGGGAGGTTTGCACTTACTGAGTGCTTCTTGTTAATCCTTATATTTATTTATCTATTTATTTATTTAACATCTGGCAGCAGCTGGCCGATGTTGTCATGTGCCTTAATTGGTGTTCTGATAAAAGCACATGCTATGAGGTATACCTTACATCTACTTGTCAATCCAACTGTATAAGGGAAAATATCCCAAATTGCCCACTGTTATGCACTTTTTAAATATATTTCTCCTTTCGTTTGATTGATATTGACCTTCGTACCTACCCTCTCCCTCTGCACCACCAGCTGGACCTTGTGGAGGAGCACAAGGCAAACCTGGCAGCCCAGTGTGAAGAGCTCCAGTTAAGCTTAGAGCACCAAAGGGAAAAAGCACAAAGTCTTCCAACAACCAGTGAATCTTCAATTCAGACACATCCAGAGGAGGAAGGAGGGGCAGCTGTTTCTGGCACACATTCAAACTCAGATGCATCCAGAAGGTTGGACTGCTGGGAGATCACTCCTCGTGGTTTTGATGTAGCCCTCTTTGATAAAGCAATTTATGAAAGCAGCCTCACTGTTTTTCTCCTTTCTGTTTCCCCTTAGTTTGGTAGAGCTTCGGCAGAACGTCGGGCGCCTTCTTCTCTCCCACGTGCCTGCGCTGGACCTGGCACAAGTGAATTTCGAGTGTAATGTAATTGATGAGATCCTAGACCAGTTTCTCACTAATAACAATTCTGACACAACAAATGATTAAACAAAAGTCGTCACATCCTGGATTTAACTAGCGCTCCGCCTGTAAATGTTTCATAAGGAGACCCGTGAGTGGGATATTAACTTAATTTAAGGTATGTTACAGATGCTTACGGATTTTTATTTTTAGGTTACTTTAACTAGCTTTTTAGGGTTTTTATGAAACAGAAACGAACAGCTGTAGATATTAATTGCTCCCAAGTTTCTCAAGAAAATCAAGGAAGTAGCAGTTTGTCAGTAGTCTTGCCAGCTATTAATACTTTTGTGTTTGATTTTTCTCTTGTTTTTGTTTTAAATAATAGGTTGCACATTTTGTATTATCATGTCTTACCAAATATATTTTTATATTGCCTATTTATATTTGTTGATTACTGCTCTGCGGCGAGGTGTGGTTTGTGGCTTAGCTGCAGGGGAGGGGTGGCCGGCACAGCTCAGGTCCATTACGGTAACCATGACTTCCCTATTTAAGTAACTGTCCGGTCCCAAAAGAGGGGTGGGAGGTTTGGAGAGGAGAGGAAAGCGCACAGCCATACAGGTGTATATATGTGTGTGTGTGTGGCTGTGTAGGAGCAAAATAAAAATGAGTTTGTCAAAACAACCTGCAAAGGCATCAGGTCCTTGTGTCATAAGCTCTATAAGACTTTGGTAGTCTTCTCAAAATCACAACGCAAGTCTGCCACAGAAGTTTGTCATCGCTGCAAGCGGTTTCATTATAATAATGAGGTGTGTGATGTGGGGCACAAGGAGCAAGGTCTTCAGTTTTGGTTGATTGTTTCAAACTCAAATGTTTTGGCAGCGTAGGTGGCAATTAAGGCATTAACCTTAGGCACCCTGGTTTTACATTTCACTTTTGGGCAATAATTCAAGTTTCACTTTGGTAAAGAGCTCAGTCTGACCAGTGGCCGCAGCATGAACTTCCAGGTCTGAATATACTGATGAATTAAACTGGATCATTTTGTTTTAAAAACATCTGTTTTGTATTTCAAAATATTTTTTGAAGCGACTCTCAGGTGATGAAATAACCAGCGTGGGAGTCGCATTTCCATTTTCCACGACATTTTACAGAAAAAAAAGAAAAGCATCAACCACACGGTTTTACATGTTGTACTTTAACCTGCATATCACAGGCTTGGAAACAATGGGGTTTTTTTCTAAAATGTCCTCGATTTTCAACTTTAATCCTCGGGATTTAACTAAAATCCTCATTGCAAAACTGTTAGCGGTTTTATTTTCTTTAAGTTAACTTGACTTAAATGTTTCACAGTTGCAGTGCACTGCTGCTAACTCTGATATTTAAAAATTAAATATTCTGTCAATAACAACCACAGTAATAAAAGTTTGTTCTACCTATTTTTTAATAAATAATTTTAAATAATGGTCTAATTGCTGTTTTTGACATTGTCATCGTGATTTTTACTATGATAATTAATGATGTGAAAATCTGATATCATTACTGCCCTTTTTCTTTGAACATTGTCTGTTTTTCTAGTACTTGTATCTCACTATTTACAAATTAATTTTTATTAAGCCACTGTTACGGATTCAAATATTGGGGATGGATACAAGAGGAAAAACCAAAATAACAACACTGGTCCGGCCGGGTTGAGTCAAACGATGATTTTAATGATCACACGCGTGGGAGATGGACACCGTACGCAGACAGCATCAGATCTCAAAATGGTGGAGCATTGCTCAAACTCTTATAGCCTCTGGTGCCTCCACCTATTCATAAAAGCCTAAAAATTCACATTCTTTCTCTCACACAGTGCCTAAGCTACGACCTTGGCTCCCTGTTTATCTGCTCCTGCTGAGATGGGGCAGAAAACCTCTCCAGTATGTTCTGTTCTCTTCTAATCAGACAAATAAGGCGATGACTTTCTGCGAACAGTATTTCTTATAACTCAGCAGTATAATGCATCATAAAACAATATCATTCATTCAAAATAAATCAGCAGTCTAATGTAATGCGAATCAATTTAACAAATGCAATAGTTATCAGCTTCTTCTAATTCAGGAGAATAATGCAAACTAAAACTACATAATAATTCACAATCTTTAATTAGGGGTCTAACATGGCATAAAATAATATTATAATCCCACACTCCCCCTGTTGAGCTCTTTAGAAGAAAGAGCTCACCTACACCCTGTAATCCAGTGTTGCCGGGTTCATTTCTTCTCACTCCTGAGGTCCTTTGTCCCCCTGTTGGGCGAACCATGTGTGAGATGACCTCTGTGTTTGCGCGGTTCAGATGCAAGAAAAACTATTTTTACAACAGTAGCAGGTACAGATGACACTCCCCAGGTCTCCCACAGCTTTATTTTGGTGCTACCTTATACCCTTCAGACGTACTCAGACTAGAACCTCTGTCTGAGGAGCTTTTAGCCTTTATTTTATTGCTGCAGCTACCAGTGTCTTCCAGTTGGGTGATCCTCTGCTCTTCTTTCTTCAACCTCAGGGGTTAGACAACCCTTCAGTCGTTGCACAGATCAGGGGATTATTCTGCCCCGATTTCAAACAACGATCTGTGTATCCTCGGGTCCTGTGTGTCCTGTGTATCCCCCAGAAAAAGGAACAGGAACGTGTCCCCCTTTTGACCAAGAGCCTCTTGAACCTCGCTGGTCTGGTGTTCCTGGATTTCCGCCAACCCCTTCATGGTTATTGCTGTGTTTATGGGATCCATCCTTTGAGGTGACTAATCGGAGCCCAAAATGCCATGACACTTGAACCCAGTTGGTGTCTCGGCAGTCACCGTGTCTGTCTCTGCTGCGAGGGATCCTCGTATATCTGTGACCTCGTCTGGTGTCTGTTCCTTCCTCTGTAAGAGACAGAAAACCAAAACACCTCTCTTCCTAGCTCTAATAATCTAATGTTGTTATCTACTGATCTTCTGGCGATTCAGAATTGGTTTAGAACAGGGCTGCCCAATCCCAGTCCTCGAGAGCTACTATCCTGCAGCTTTTAGATGCATCCCTACTCCAACACAGCTGAATCAAATGGTTTGATTACCTCTTCAGCATGCCATCGTGTTTGGCAAAGGCCTGATAATAAGCCATTCAATTGATTCGGGTGTGTGGGAACAAGGATGCATCTAAAAGCTGCAGGACGGTAGCTCTCGAGGACCGGGATTGGGCACCCCTGGTTTAGAATATTCAGAATGTCCCAGGGACTCATTCCAATCATATCCTATGTGTGTGTAAGCGTGTTTGCATTTAGCCCTCTGCACTCAAGGCATTTCCTACACTTTATCAGTCCGGACCATCACGCCGAACGAAGCTTATGACCTTCAAAAGACCGAGTGCCAACTCATTACTGTATAAGCACATTTGCAAGGTGTGTCTGAAAATTATTAAAACCACTCATTTTAACAAAAGACATCAAAAACAAATTAGCCATTTTTAATTCTAACATCTGCCCCCCGTTTTCACAAAAATCATGTGTTTCCTTCTGCCTACCGTCCCACGGTTTCCTCTCCAGTGTGGTACTCAGCTTCTCATGAACACAGGCATTTTATCTTCTAAACGCTATTCAGTTCATTCCAATGATTAACGCTTAAACATGGAAATAATGATTTATGCTTCTCACTGATTCTCTAAAAAAGTCCGGAAACCTTTTGGGTCACTATTAGCTTAAGCTTTACTATACCTAAGTTATTAAAACACAAATGAAGTCATAAAAATGTTCATATAATCCTTGTTTGATGTTAAAACTCAACTTCCCCCCTTGTTTGACACATTCCCATGTGTCAAATCAACGGAGCTAGAAAATTTAAAAAAAAGGTTAGTGACCTCATATCTTAGAAAGCATGAGACCTTCTCCTATCCAGTGTCGTTGCTCCAGTCCTGTCATCCGGTGCCAGGGAATGAAGTCAATTTAATTGTCATGTTAGATCTCTTCAACTCCTGGCTCCGACCAGAGCCTGCGTCCGCAGAATTGCCATGAAACAAAACCTGTATTAATATGAACTTCACTGGAATATGAACTTGTTGACACAGCAAAGGAACATTCTCTCCTTCTCGAGGACAGGCACTGACTCCCACTTATCTCCTGGAGCCAACTGTCCCTTATGGAGACACAACATTGCAGCTACAAGGTTTTGCAGATTGTTAAGTTGATCTGTGTGTAATGCTCTGAATCAGGTATGTAAAATTAAATGAATGTTGTTTAATCAACTGCCACTACTTAAAACTTAGCAAAAGATATAACTGAATAAAAGATCACAAAGAAAAGCATGACATCGGTGTTATGTAAGCGCGTGCGGCCTTCTATGCTCGAAGTCACTCCAGTCCATAGATCAGCCAAACATCGCGCTGACTGTAGCTTTTAACCCTTATTAACTTGAGCACAACTCTATAATGAGCAACAAACTGCAATATGTATAAAGATGATCATGGTTACACCTGCAATGAAAGATCATATGATTATCCTGACACCTGTAAATAGAAGATTAACCTGAGGTTATAACAATCACTGTAATACAAATGTTAATGTAATGTCAATAGCTTCAAGCAATGTTTAACGCAATGCTTGTTATATGATTCTGATGTAACGATAATGCTGATGCTGAAATAATAGTAAAACACCCCCTTTTATCCCGTTAATAAACTTCACACATAGACGTTTATAAATGCCTCTTTTAAATTATATTTCCCCCTGTCTTTCCCTTACTGACCACAGCAGGGGAAGCTTTGTTTTGATTCAGCCATGAATCCAGCTCACCTGATTCATCACTGAGCCCCACCGTCACTGGCATCTGACAGAGTGGCGCTGCATACTTGTCCTTTAATGTCACTATTTCCAATCTGTTAATTAGAGTGCTTAAACATGAAGTCCACAACAAGTCAATACAGCTGTAAATGTGGCCAATTATCAATCTATTACCAATCAATAATGAAAAATTGCTTTTATTTTATGCATGCTTTTAGTCAACCACTCACCCAGAGGATCTCCAATCCCAGAAAATTCCTTCTCCTTATTTAATGAGTCCGTCCTCCTTCCATGCCCTGGTAACTGGTCCATCCAGAGCCATATCATCTTGAAATATACACACAACAAGCCAAACCACACCTTGGTCACACCAACCCTTTTCCGCCCTGAAGATGTCCAACGCCATCTTAGTCTGGAACAGGCTTTTAACAGTTTTGCAATTTTCATTAGTTTTTATTTTTATTTAGTTTCGACTTCAGATTTTCGAATTTATATCAGTTTTAATTAGTTTTTATCAATTGTTGGCTAGTTTAGTTTTTTTTTTGTTGAAAATCCTTAGTTTCAGTTTAGTTCCGATTAGTTTCAGTTATATTTTTAGTTGTGTTTGCAAAAATTAAGTGTAACAAAATCTCAGTTTCATCATCAGTCATGCTCTTCTGCTTATCCTTGGGTATTGAGACTATTAACTCTTGCAGCACCAGGTTTTCGTAATTTTGGTTCAAGTCAATTGATAAACTTTTTGAAGGCAATTGACTCACACAGTTATGTAGATGTCCCCGTCCTGTTGTCTCGGGATGCATCACGCTGCCTTGCATGGAGTTAGCTTCTGTTTCTGGGGATGAGGGTTGAGTGTGCTCCCTTACCTTTTCAAGGTAAGCTGGGTTAGCCTTCTTGTGTGACCTTTTCAAGTGCACTTTAAGGTTTGTGGGATTTTTTCCCTTTATAAATGTCCCTCATAATTTGTCTCTTTCCACTACAAGACACTTGCTTTATCCAAAACACAGTCATATTCAAAGTAATCCCAAATTGGACTCTGGCGCTTTCTCCCGACTTTTCCTGACATGATTCTGCGCGTGGACGGAGCAGCAACACAGACGACTCGACTAACGTGCTGCCACCTGCTGGCATAATGAGACGGCAAGAAAAAATCTGGAAACTAAACTTCATTTTCACCCTTGACTATTGTAGGACACGCACACATCAATGAAAACTAAACACATTTTGCTATAAATTCAGTTAATTTTAGTTAGTTTTGTGAACACTCATTACAGTTTTAGTTAGTTTTCCTTTTTTTTTTTTTTTTTTTTCGTTAACGAAAATGTTTTTTCACTTCTAGTTTTCGTTATTTCGTTAGTTTTCGTTAATGATAATAACCTTGCTCTGCACACTGGAATAAACATAATCAACATGATCAACATTTTACTGCGTGTTATTTCACCATCTTATCGATTCCAACTCTCCATCCTTATGTGGTTTGCGACATTATGTTTATCCACTCTGTCTCTAAATGTTTGAAGAATTTTTCATGTTTGAAAAATGAAAGTGAAATTTATGGTGTCATCACCCCTTCGGGGCTTACCTTTCCCAGTGTTGATGATATTCCTCCCTATTCTTTGCAAGTATTCCCTTTTGGTGGCGAGAAACTGTTGGTGTGGTCAAGTGGGTG